AGTCTGGGTGACAGAGTGAGACTCCGACTCAAAAAAAAAAAAAAAAGTAGGAATCCAGTGTGGCTAGACCATGCTGTGCCTCCCATCGAGGTGAGGGTACACCATGGCCACCATCTGCCCGTAGAGGGAGGAAGGGCCAGCCCAAGCTCGCTGTCCTCCAGTCTCGAGTCACATCGCAGGTAGCCATGATCTGCCTGTTGCTTGGACTTTCCTCGCATTATTTAGATAGAAGGTCATGTAGGACTGAAGGTATTCAGGTTTCAATCAAAGAAGAATTTGTCATTTTAACCTTCAGCACTAATACTCAAGAGAAAAATAGATATTACCCTGAGCACAGGCTGGATGGCTTCACGGATGCAGGCGCATTTGCCTAACTGTCTCTCAAATGTTTGCCTGAGTCTGTCCTAACCTTTAGAATTCAGGCAGCCTTGCCTGGAGCAGGTCCACTCAGAGCTGACTCGAAGCTGTCCCCACAGGCCTTGAGTGGGAGACCCTGCTTTTGAGGGAGGTGGGAAGAAAGGCATCAGGTCTTCTTCCCCGCTGTCCCTCAATTCTGGGCATGGTGGCACTTTTGTAGTCCCAGTTACTTGGGAGGCTGAGACAGGAGGATCACTTGAGCCCAAGAGTTTAAGGCTGCAGTGAACTATTATGGCACCACTGCACTCCAGCCTGGACAACAGAGCAAGATCCTGTCTCAAAAAACAAAAACAAAAAAAAAGGCACTAACCTTGGGCTATGGGACTGTGACTATAATGATAAAGGAGAGGAGGAACCGATGCCTGGGTCCTCACCTATGAACTGAGGCTTGTTCCCCCAGCTGCAAGTCAAGATACACAGAACTGAGAGAAGTAGCACAGTCTTCATTTAGGTGCAAGTCAACGACTTGACATGTGAGAGACAGCAGGGTTAAATAGAGGACTGATTTCGTTCTCGAGAGCAGTGTTGGTGAGTGCTGTGGCCATCAGCTTTCGCTTCCATCAGACAAGAGCCCTGGTGACGTCTAGCCTGCCCATCACTGTCCAGCCCCCCCTGACTGGCACACAGGTGCACCAGCCCTTTCTCTGACTTTCATAGTGATGCACTGAGTTGCCACCAGGTGGTGCTAAACGGCAACTAAAACTCCTGCACTGGAATCCCAGAAGCATTTGCCTTCACCCAGCATCTGTTTTAGAGTTGACTGGGCCAGCCTCAGGACAGCACCCTCTGCCACCTGGGCCCCCAGGGAGGGCGGCCAGCCCCTGGCAGAGTTTCCTCAGGCCTCGGGTTAGCTCCCTAGGCCTGCACTCCAGCAGGTCTCATTTTTCTCTCTGAAAAGCTGCGTTCCCTTGGATGAGCCACCCAGGTGAAGCCGGGTAAGTGGAGTCTTCCCCAGAGGTGTGGTCTGTCCCAGCATTTGCCTTTGTACCTGCACGTCCGGTGCTCGCCACCGGTCAGTCTTGTTCTCATGAAGTCACCATTTTTACCCATACAAAGCTAAAGCCTCCCGGTCTGCATGGTCTCCTGCCCAGAACTCCCTGGCCCACTCTAGTCCTCACCAACTGGTGCACAGTGCCCATCCCGAGTCTCTTTAGCAGCTCCCAGGGCCTCGTGGTGGCCCTCCCTACCTGTCGGGGTACCATCAGGCTGCAGGCCCGAGCCGGCCTTGCCCTCTTCTCTTCCCAGCCTCCTTGGGTCTCCCTCCCCTGCCTTCAGCCCTCATTCCCCTGGTCTGGCCCCTGTCCCCGCCACCTCGCTGGCCCCTAGCCAAGCCCTCCACCACTTTCCTCCAGTGGCGCCCAAACCCTGGGCTGGCAGGGCTCCACTCCTTCCTAGCTTTCACTACCCTCAGGAGAACCCTCTACTCTAGCCAGGAAGCCCGTCCCCTGCCCCCACCACGCTGGGAGCAGACCAGACCCAGTCTGAGCAGGCCTGTCCCCATCCCCTCCTGTGGCTCTCCGCAGCCCCTTTCAGCCCGTGGTGACGTCTCCCGTTCCTCCTGCTGCTGCTTCATTCTGTGCCCCACTGTCTAGCTTACTACACGAGCATTGGCCATGGTTTTCTTTCTTTTCTTTTTTCTTTTGAGTGGGAGTCTCACTCTGTTGCCCAGACTGGAGTGCAGTGGCTGCTCCCGGCCACCGCAGCCTCGACCCGCTGGGCTCCGGCGATCCTTCTGCCTCAGCCTCCCAAGTAGCCGGAACTATAGGCGTGCGCTCCCACGCCCGGCTAATTTTTTGATTTATTGTAGAGATGAGGTCTCGCCAAGTGGCCCAGGCAGGTCTCAAACCCGCGGGCTCAGGCAATTCACTCACCTCGGCCTCCCAAGGCGCGGGATGACAGGCTGAGCCACCGAGCCCAGCCAACCGTGGTTTTCGAGAATGTTTCTTACCTTGTACTTACTGAGAACTTCTCTGAGGGTGGGTATATGAGACATCTTTTTTTTTTTTCTGGTGTCTCCTAGCTCAGTACTGTGATCCCATTAGGTACTGCACGAAAGTTTCCAGAATGAACAAAAGCATTGTTTACAAAGACCTGAAGCTGTTTAGCTCCAAGATTTTGTGAATGTGCTTTCTCAATCCAGAGCACATCTGCCATTTGCAGCCCTGACTCAAGGACTGGTGGCCTTTATGGGTCAACACTAAGCTCCCACATTCCCCAGATGGGGAGCCCTGCTTGGGGCGGAGGTCCCTGCTGCATGTTTTGGGTGTGTCAAGTAGAGTTTGTCCTTCCTGTCTGGAACATACCGAGCTGAGGGGGCAGCCAGCTCGATGGCGGGGGGGCGTGCAGCTCTGCTCACAAAGTGGTGCCGGAGTGTGGTCATGCTCATGCTGCCCCTGTGGGGCCCCTTTTCTCCTCTGTCAGGGAGAAGCTGGCTTAGGCATTCTAGGCCCTGGCGCTCTCAACTCCGAGTCTGCGGCAGGGAGCGCGGCTGTGCCTCTGTGCCCACACTCACGAATGGACTCTCCTGTTGCCTTCCAGGCACCCAGTACGGCACATCTCGTTCAACAGCCACAGCCTCATCACAGCTAACGTGCCCTACGAGCGGGTGGTGCGCAACACCGACCTGGACAGCTTCGCCACTCACAGGAGGTCAGCGGGTGTGGCTGGGCTGGGCTGGGCATGTTCAGAAAAGATCATCTCAGTCTGGTTTATTTCTAGACAGCCCCATGCCACACTGGCCCCTGTGGGCTATACCCTCAGGTAGGGCCATTCTTTTTAGAGCAACTGGGAACACAAGTGTGGCTGCGGTGGGGTGATTGCAGCCAGTAACCCATGTGGGACACTTGGTGGAAGTGCCTCCCGTGGCAGCTGGTGACTGGTGCAGGACAGTGGCCAGGGAGTGATACTCTGCTGGTTGTAGAGAGGGCGAGCCTTAGGCTCTGAAGAGTCAGAGTCAAAGGCTCAGGGACCTGCTGTGGTCAGAACGTGTCACGGCCCAGTCCTCTGAGCTGAGTCCTTGTGCTCAGTCTGCTGGGTGCCTCAGCTGCCGATCAGAAGAAACCCCCAAGCAGGTGGGCCAGGTACCTTTTCTCATGAGACTGTTGGCCTGGCTCCTGGGCATCCCCTCCTTGAGGCTGTCCCTGAGGCTGCTCCTGCCCCTCCAATGCCTCGCCTTCCAGCTCACAATATGACCATCAAACCTGTGTGCCTGCCGGGTTCACTCGAGGCCTGGGACTGTGAGTATCTGACATGCTGCGGGCCCAAAGGACGTATTGTTTAAAACAAATCTCTATCCTGTCTCAAGCAAATGGTTCCTGCAAAGACAGAAGCTGTGGGGGGGGGGGCGAGAGCCATCAACACAGACCTGACCGTCATGTCTTTATGCTTTCTCCAGACACCGGGGGCTGATCCATGCCTACGAGTTTGCAGTGGACCAGCTGGCCTTCCAGAGCCCTCTACCCATCTGCCGCTCACCCTGTGACACTACGGCTGGCCACAACTATGACCTCGCACTGGCGTTTCCCCACGACCAGATGTAGGGATCACCCGTCTAGGAGTAGGGAAGGAAGGGGGAAGAGCCAGTCCTCTGCATTTTACAGATGAAGGGAGCCCTGTGCGGGGCCCAATGTCTGGGGAAGAGAGCAGCCCAGGGTGACCGCTACGGCACACGTTCCCGAGCCCCAAGCCCCTCGCTTGTTTCCCTGCCAGTTCGTTCCTCTCTAGAGTCTCAAGAAGCTGCAACTTGTCACGGTCTGCTTCCTTTCCTGTTCTCAAACTCAACGCCCTTCCTCCCACCCCCTGACCTGGCACCTCCTCCAGCCCAGCTCAGCAATGCCACCCCCCACACCCTGCCACGTTCGGCTCCCTGGGACACCTCGTGGGTCCCCCATGGCACCCTGTGCTGCCAGCTCCTCTGTGCCTGTGCTCCCTGCTCCAGCCCTAAGGGCTGTCATCTGGTCTCCAGAGTCTTTTTAGGGACCTTGGATGTGTCCCCACCCTCACTGTCCTGTCCTTTGGGTCACAGCTCAAGTATTTGCTCCTTTGACACCTAGCCAGCACCTCCCAGTATGCAGCTGGCAGAGCAGTGCCTTCTCGTTGTGGCTCTTCCCAGAGTTTTGAATTCTATATTTATGCAGTTATTTAACTAATGACTGTTTTGCTTACTATTGTATCTACACTATGTGATAGACAGAAATATTTTCTAAATATTCCTGGCCTAGACAGCCACCCTCCACATGGGTTGGAGATGATTCTGCACAGAGGATGAGTGGGGCAAGGAGGCCTGGAGGAGAAGCCATGTCATCAACACTGAGATGAGACGTGTCGACGCCAGGAGACTTTGCCCCTTGACGCAGGGCTTCCACCCATGGCATAAGCAAGCAAGCCTCTGTGTAACTCTGGGTTTGCATTCTTTTAAGCAGCAGCCACCGAATATGCCTTCAAGTGTCAAAGCAAAAACTTACAGAGTTACAAAGAGAAAGAAAATCTTTTCTCACAAGAAGTGATCAATAGATGACAGCAGTGACAAAATGTAAAGATGTGGAGAATTAGCTGGGCTCAGTGGCTCAGCCTGTAATCCCAGCGCTTTGGGAGGCCGAGATGAGCGGACTGCCTGGGCCTGTGGGTTCGAGACCCATCTGGGCAACTTGGTGAGACCTCATCTCTACAATAAATAAAAAATTACCCGGGCCTGGTAGCGTGCACCTGTAGTTCCAGCTACTTGGAAGGTTGAGGTGAAGGATCGCCAGAGCCCAGCAGGTCGAGGCTGCAGTGGTCAGGAGCGGCCACTGCACTCCAGTCTGGGTGATAGAGTGAGACTTCAACTCAAAAAAAAAAAATGTGGAGGATTTACTTAACATCCATTAACAAGCTCGACCCAGTAGATAGACATAGAATTTTGTAACTTTTCAGATACCCAAGTACACAAGAAATGACTACAGAAAGGCCACAAAGAAAATCTCAGATGCACAAGATGGACACATATAGGTCAAGTTTACTGACCTCAATGCAGTAATTAGAAGTCAACAAAAAGCAAAGTGAAAAAACAAAAACACCAGGAAATTCTAAACACTCCTGTATTAACTTGGATTTAAAGAGAGTTAACAAAGAGAGAAAATATAAACTCTCTAGACCGGGTTGACAGAATGCTGAGTACAAAACCCAGGAGATGAGGCCAGAAGGGACTGAGAGGAGCTGTGACTTTAACAAAATGAATGGGCTGAGCTGTCACCTCAGCTCACAAAAGGTAGCTGTGATCCCCAAGGGAAGTAGAAGGATGGAGTGACTGTTAGGGACAGAAAAGGAGACTATGGACACAACATAAGTACCTTCTGCATGGGGGGGTACCTACAATAACCCTCTATTGCACAGGCAGTGTATCATTGGGAAGCGGCCGCCATTACTCAAAGGTCTAGAACTCTCGAGACATGAGGGTTTGAGGAGGTTTTCCAGATTGTGTAAGACCCTCCATCCTTAAACATCCATCTCCAGCTACATGGGAAACAGAGCCAGATACAGCGCAGCGATAGGGAAGCGTTTCCCTTCCTGTCTGGAGCACGGCTTTCCTTCTTGCCACCTTCCTGGGAGGCAAATTGGCTGCAGGGTTTTCTGCTTCCTTTCAACCAAGCTACTCCATAAGTGAAGCCAGCCTGCAGTTAGCAAATGCAGTGTTTTACTTACTCCCACATCATGTGCTGGGCTGACCCCTGGAGGCCTTACTGTATAAGGTTTTCCCCAGGCCCTCCCTTTTTCTTCTCATAGTCTTACTGTAACCAGACCACTGGGAAAGCCATTTCTTTTTCTTTTCAAGAAGCAGCCCCTTCCAGGCTGATTTCACAGCTCATTTTGCAGGTGCATTCCTAACTTAGCAGCAACAAAAGATAACTGAAGAGTTTCGAAGAAATTAGACCTAGAAATTTGTACTGAAATTAAGCACAGTTTAAACTTGTTACTCTCTGCCAACAGCTGGTCAGGATGAAATGTGCTTGCAGCCTCTCCCCAGCCTGTTTATAGCATACCTCCCATTCATGACAATGGCCTGGGGTCTGCACAGGAGAAGCTTATTGGGCCCCAACTGTCAACTTCCAGCACCCTGACCTCAGGCAACGTTTTCTGCTGTAAATGTGAACGTCCTGGAATAAATCACCCTGACAGGGAAAGGAGAAGCTTTATAAACCACCACTTAAAACTAAACACAAGCCTTGGCCCACGCCCACCCACTCTGTCCAGCTAGCCTGCTCCTGTCTACCCTGTGGCTGTTGGAGGGGCTTCCTCACGAGTTCTGAGTCTCTAGTGGATCTAGCCTCCCCATCTCTCTAGGTCCTCCCTGGGGGTCTCTTGTCTTTTCTCAAAACACTTAGGACTTTATCTGTCCATAGTTCTCATATTAAATGCTTTGACTTTATTTCTGGCTCAAATTATGTGAACACTCGGGCAAGGTGTGCAATGATATCACTCATGACATTTCAAGATCCCTCCCCATTCCCCTGAAACCTACCTCCCATGATAGTATTGTACAGCCCACAGGTGAGTGGTTTTTCCCAAGACCCTTCACTGCAGGGGTTTCCAGCCCAGGATCCAAGAAATCAAGTTTTATATAGGAAGCCCTCAGTGCCATCCACAGGTTCTACGACTTCAAGCAAAATGACGTAATGAAACCAATATCCCATAGGCTAGAGGATATAAGCAAGGTAAGTACATATGATATATTTCTGGTCACAAAAACATTGCCATCGTGGCCTTTGTAGCAACATGGATGTAGCTAAAACCATGCTAAGTGAACTATCACAGAAAAGACTGAACACTGCATGTTCTCCCTCATAAGTGGGCCCTGATCATTGGGCACGTGAGCACAAGGGTTGGATTGGCAGACGCTAGACCTGCTAGGAGAGAGAGGAAGGGAGGGGACATGTGGCAACACACGGGGTACCAGGTCCACTACTGGGGGGAGAGGGCCGGCTACGAGCCCAAACTTCACTGGCATGCAGCTTATGTAGTGAGCCCTCACTTGCACCCCACAACTCTAAAATAAAAACCAACAAACTTCTTAAGACCTAAAACACTTCTAGTATTAAACGCTGAAATAAATGTGAGCTACACACACATTGAAGAAAGACTGATGAGACCAAGGTAATTATTTCCCCTGTTCCTCCAGCTCAGGGTACCAGGCGGGAGCCCCCCTGCTCCCTGGGCAGGAGCCATCCATTGCAGAGCGCCCGAACCCACACCAGGATGATGTAGGCATGCCACACCATGAGTGTTCTCCCGTGCACAGCTCTGGGATGAGGGGGAACGGGCCTGCCTGGAGCAAACCCATGCAGACACGGGGAGAGCGAGCAGACTCCACACAGGCAGCAGCCCCGGCTGGGAATCCATTCATCTTTCCTTATCCACATCATAATGAAAAAATGTCGAAAGCAACGACTTGAATCATGGGCCTGCTGTATGCGAAACTGCATGAGGGTGTTTTCCAGGAAAAAGTCTGCTCATCACATTCTCAAAGGGACTGCAGCCCCCTTAGAATTGCATCTCTGCCACGAGAGTTTTGTTTTAATCCAGGCCACGTGCTACCTTGGTACTGCTGTTGCCAGGGCAATCATTCACATTTCAAAGATATCCTGGGGACAGCTTCACCTTCCCCTACCGAGCAGGACTCTCACTGGCTGGCTGCATTTCCCAGGGTTGAGGTTTGGTTCTTCCTGAAAGGGAAAGCTGACGCCCCCAAGAACCCCCTCCACCCCTTGAGGGCTAGAAACCCTGAACTTAAGGGGCAGCACTTCCCCTGGTGAGGGTGCAGCCTCTCCGTGAGGACCACCAGTAGCTACTCTTTCGGGTGGGCCTAGACTCAGGCCCCGCCAGGCCTGCCCCCCTTCGAGGGGCCTGGCTGAGAGCGGCAGCTGTGCAGCGCTGAGCTCACCGTGCTGGCCGGCCGGCCCGGTGCTGCGAGCCCCACAGGCCTGCTGCATCACCCACGCAGCCAGGCCAGATGGTTACCTGGCGACCACTGCTGGGGCCTGGGGCGACTTGGATGGGGCTGCTCTCGTGTGCGATGGCACATTCCCTCTTGCTGGGCTCCGGCCTCTGACGCTGAGCGTGGGCTTCCAGAAGAGCCGCTGGACTGCTCTGCACCGGGGCCTTCTCTTCCCCTAGCAAGGGAGGGAGACCTCTCCGCCTCCCCCCAGCTGAGCCCGTCATGCCGCGTCTTCTTCCCTCGCCCAGCACCAAGGCAAACACTGCCTTGCTGTTCCTCTAAGACGGACGTGGCAGCAAGGTCCGCAGTGCATCCCTCCACCTCGCTCTTGGCATGTTGATGCTTCCCCTGGCCGCAGGGCCCAGGCTGACCCCCTGCTAACTTGGTCAACAGTGGAGTGGGAGGCCAAGCGGCCATCATGTCCTCGTCAGAGTCCTGGGGCCGGGCTCATCCACCCCAAGCCCCCACAGGCACTTGTTCGCATCCTGGGAAGAGCTGAGACGAAGGCAACATTGTGCCCCGGGAGTGTGGTTCCCCCGGGGCACCACCCACTCAGTTCTTCCCAGCCTCCCAAGGTCGCTGCGTGGGAGGACAGCCTGCAAGGCAGGTGTCTGCAAAACCCTTGCCAAGACAACTTGTATTTTTAACTCCCCAGCTGCCTACTTAAGTCACACGGTGCATTTGCAGCGCAGCAGAGTTCAGCCTCAGCCTCATTGGCGGCAGGCAGGTGGGGACAGGTTCAGCTGCTCGGTGGCAAGGAGCAGGTCCACAGATGACCTGTTTCCCGCTAGCAAGGCACAAAAGAACCTTCCAGTGCCCTGGCCCAGAAAATAATAGCATTGTTTTGTTTTAAGTCTAGCAGTAATCTGCTCCCCAAGAGGGGCCTGGCCAGGTCTGGAAGCTGCTGTCATCCTGCCCTGTCCCCTCATCCATAATTCATGGTTAACGTGGCTGCAGAATGAGTCCCCTGAGCTGCCCCTGTTCAATTTCCATCACACAGCCCCTCTGTAAACCTACCAAATGAGAAGGCTGTGTCAGGTCGCCATATTCGCTCAAGAGCCAAAAGCCAGCTCTCCCCTCGGTAGGTGGCGGTGCGGGAGGAGAACTGCCCTCCACGCGGTGGCCGGAGATGGAGGTGATTGCCCCTGGCGGCCGGCAGGCTGAGGACCCGACCCGGCTCAGCCTTCTGCTCCTGGGCCTGTGGGCCTCAAAAGACAAACGTATCAGCTTCCTTCAAATATTTGACTTCATGTTGGTCTCTGCCTGGTTCCTTTTAGTCACTGTGTCCCTTCTGCAAGGAAGGCAGCGACGCAGTGCCTTTGTTTATCACCCAGAACAAACACTTCACCCTCTTTGAGCTGCTGTACTTGAGATGTTTGTTGTTCAGTTCATGTCCCCGTCCAGGGACAAGAGAGTCTTGCTACACTCGAGTCAGGGTCTGTACAGCCAGAAATGCCCTCCTGGGCACGCCCAATAGTCCAGCAGGTAGCAGAAGCTGTGTCTGAGCCACCTCTCCTGTCCTGTGGCTCAGACGACACTGCCCAGATGGTGGGGCGGGCCGAGACCCGTGCCCGGAGCACGACCCTCAGTCTTTGTTGACCCCAGGCCAGCAGCCCCATAAGCTGTGAGGACTGAGCCTGCCCCTTCTGAAAGTGGCTTTGCTCCAATTCAGCCAACCCGGATTGCCCCCCAGAAGACACGGAGCAGGCCAGGAGCCAGGCAAGAGCGCGCCAGGTGACCCCTCCAGCCCTCACTGTGGTGGCACTGACCCCCCATCCCTGTCAATCAGAGGACACCCTCGGCGATCACATACAGGCAAGCTTGCTTCCACAGCGTGGACTGGATTCATCAACCTCGTTTTAATCCAGTTTAGATAAGCTGTGGCCCAAAGCTTCAAAGACCTCAGGCAGCCCTCCATGCCTGGAACGAGGGTGTGTGTTTGACAAGTGCCCGTCATGATGGCCACTTCTCCCAAACTAAAACTCAAGGCACAGAGGCTGATAAGAGAATTACTACATATAAAACCTTTTACACTAATGAACTGCCTTTGTTGAAAAGAACAAGATCGAAGTAAACTGGGAGTCCCAGAAAACCCAGGCATCCAGTCACAGGGCCAGCGTCTCTGTGGCTCAGGGGCACTGCACAGCCAGCCATTCAGGGCACATGGGGTGGCTGGACAAGCCTACATGACAAGACTGTCCCCACCAGGCTGTCCTGTGACTTTGCAGAGTCCTTCTGCTGGCAGCCAGGAACCGAGAGGCTTCTAAGCAGCAGGGACGGGACGGCAGGGGGCGGGTGAGGGGGACCACTGGGGTTCTCCTCAGAAGGTCCAGGGTTTGGTCTCTCCGCTGCCTCAGGTGGCACCTTGAGAGTGGGAAGCAGAGACGTTGCCCCTGCCCCACCACTCTGAGTGCTAGAGGAAGTCCTCCTCCCAGAAGGAGCTCTGAAGGTGACTCTACCTTCACTTGCCCAGAGACGGGGCTCTCCTCCAAGCACCAGCCTGAGTGGGGAGAGAGAGGCCTGGGCAGAGCCCAGCCCAGTCAGCCAGGCGCCTGCCAATGACAGTGACAACATGCGGCCAAGAGTCCCTCAGCCGCAGCCTTGCACCCACCCCAGAGGTCACACGTGTTCCCAGAGGATGAGGTTCCCCAAGCCCACTCGCTGCCCTGTAGCTGTCTGCACTGCTCTCTGTGTGGTGTGTTCAGGGCCCTTCAGGTCACCACGCTGCTTGGTTGTGTTTTGAAAATTAAATACTGCTTTTCACCTCCTCCTGAGCAACAACTCATGGACCCTGATGTGCTGTGGGTATTTTCTTACACTTTTTTTTTTTTAGTGACAAGTTCTCACTCTGTCTCCCAGGCTGGAGTGCAGTGGCACAATCATAGCTCACTGCAGTCTGGAACTCCTAGGCAGCAATCCTGCCTCAGCTCTCAGCCTCCCGAGTGGCTGAATGAATGCCACCTTATTTTTTTTTTAAGAAACAGGATCTTGCTATGTTGCCCAGGCTGGTCTCAAACCCCTGGCCTGTCATCCTTTCTCCTTGGTCTCCTAAAGCACTGGGATTACAGGTGTGAGCTGCCGTGCCCACCTCTTACACATACATATTAAAATAAGAATATGGCCGCTGCAATCAATAGTCATCCACAGGACACCTAGAATTGTCTGGCCACGTGCAGCAATGGTGTTGCGGCCTCCAGGGCCTCTCACTGTTCTGCTGTGACAACTGTCCTCTGGCAAGTGGCCAGGGGTCCCCGGTCTGAGGCCGAGAGAGGAGGCTCCCTGGCTGTCCCACACAGGGTTCCCACTGAGACCCGACCAGGCTCAACACCAGGGTGGCAGCTCGGTGTTCCTGCCACGTCCTGGGCTTGGTGCATGTGTGGCCACAGCAGGAGTCGCTGTCCGCTAGCAAAGCGTCAGCTGGTGACGCTCAGTACCAGGCTGCACCAAGAAACTCCCTGAGCCTCCGACACATGCCGAGTGCAGTGGTGGACGGGCAGAGGCGGCCCAGGCTGACTTCCTCTCAGTCACACTCCCACGGGAGCCTCGCAGACAGCCCCAGCTTTTCCCACTTACGAAAAGTAGGGGCGCTACGACCAGACGCGTCCATGTTTGCTGCTGGGTGCAGGAGATGGCTCTGGAAGGGTGCCCAGGGAGCCGGCACATCTGCCTTTGAAGGGAGAGAAGAGCTGTGGCCAGGCGTGGGCGCGGACTCCAGGGCCTCCTCTCTGTGCCTTCAGAATCTGAACTGCAAGCCGTGAGCTTGTAATATGTGAGTCAAGCCACGTTTAATATTAAAATTATGGATGAAGCACCCTAGAATGCAAATAGTAGCCACGGTCAGTTATCAAGAGAAGCTTCTGGAAAGATACCTCCCAGGGAGTGTCGATAAAGGGCTCTGGGCATGTCATAAATGTGACTACCAGGAAGACACCTGGAAAACAAACACTTAGTCCCACACAGCCACAGGAGCATTCTGTCCAGCGCCACCAATGCCACATGGGGCCGGCGGCTGGCCACCCACACAAAGCAGAGGAGTCACAGCCGGCAAGGCAGCCCCAGCACTGCCAGGTCTCCCTTCTGCTGAGACCCCGATGGACCATCTTTGCCTCCTTGCCCCTCCACGATGGCCACTCTCCAAATCAGAAGACGACAACTGATGTGGCTGGAGACGCTTACCTGTGGCAGATGCTCCACGGCCTTCAATGCTGCTGTGTAACTGGAGACCTCAGAGTCCTAGCCCACGCAGCTGGCCCTTCTTGCCAGAGCAGTGCAGCCCGCTGGCAGAGACCCACCATCAGACACACATGGGGGCTTCCGAGTTGGCCACCTTGAATCCCTGGGGCCCACAGACCAACAGAGCAGGCTCAATGAACCTCCACTGCGGGCACAGGCCGCGGGCTCCTGGCGTTTCCTCCATCTGTCGAAACTTGTGGTCGTGATGTCAAGGAGGCCCCGCCACCCCTGTCCTGGCCACGCCTGAAGTCCACGTGGAAAGGAGCTGCTTCTCCTTGTCATATTGCCTGGGACTGAGAAGGCAGATGGACTCCAGACCTCACACAGAAGAACGGCACACACTCTGCCCGAAATAGGCAGAAAGGAAAAATCCTTCTTCCAAACCAGCCTTTTAAAATTACTTAGCTGCTGCTCATTCTTCAGATTCAGTCCCAGGTCACCAAAGGACCCTGCCACTTTACCAGACACAAGGAACCAACAGAAGCCACGTTCATTAACAAACCGCCTTTTATTACTACAGGTAAAAACAGCAAAGTCCCACGTACCATACCCCGCGAGGTGCAAGACAGATGGCTACGTGGTGACTATTTACAGGAGCCGCAGCCCTGGGGAGGCCGCCCTGCCTCAAGGAGCGGCTTCTAGGGGCAGGTCAGTGGCACAGGGCGATGGTCTCCATGTTGAGGAAGCGGACGTGCATCTTGGTCTCAATGTCGATGCCCTGCCAGATCTGGAAGGGACGGGGCAGGTGAGGGGCGTCCCGCCGCTGCCTCACACTCACCAGGCCCCAGCCTCAGCCACCTCCACCCCCACCCCCGCCTGCCACCAACTGTGACATTTCCTCCAGGCAGGTGAAGCCAGAGGGCTGTGTTTCAAGACTATGAGCTAAGCGAGGAAGAACAACTTCCATCTGTCTTTTTGCTGGTTAATTTGGCTCTGACATTTGGATGCTTTCTGAGATTGTCACAGCAAGTTATTATTAAGTCCTGGATCCAAGCGCTTAGCTCCAAGTCATTTGACTCTCACCCACCACCTCACGCTCCGTGAATTTCATGCAAATTACATAACCCCTACAATGCAGGGACCCCCCACCTGTGCACCCACTTCACAGGCTCTTGAGGGGCTCCCTTGGCATCCTCTTCCCCCACAGCATCACTGGTGAACTGCCGGGGGGCTGTGTGCTACAAGGCCTCATCAGGCCATCATCATTCACCGAAAGCTCACCTGGGTTGTCTTTACAGCCTTCCTGGGGTACGCGATCACCTGCATTCTAGGTAGACAAGTTCACGGCCCAGAAAGGGCCTTCCTACCCAGGGACAGCTGGTGCTGGTGCTAGTGCTGGTTCCGGCCCATCCCAGTGAGGCCCTAGTGGATGCGCAGGCTCCAAGGCCACATGCCCACACTGCAGAGCCCACCACTCCGGGACAGTGCCCACCAGCTACCCAGGGCCCACAGCCACAGACGGCAGAGGTGGGGGGTGCGAACAGGAGCAGAGGATGGGGTAGGAGGTGACTTCTCACTGCCTCCCGCTTATGTAAGAGCTTCAACCCTCAAGCTGTCACTCTCAGCATCTCCAGGGACAGCCACAAGGCTGGGAACAAGGAAGTCAGAACCCTGTGGGGACTCTGGAGGCCCTGGGGCAATTCTGGCTGCTGTCCCGTGGCCCTCCGTCCCCCAGGTACCTCCCGGTCTCTGGAGCTTGTTCTGGGTGTCGCAGAGAAGACAGCTGCGGCACCAGTCCAGCAGCTCTGACCCTTACTGGGTGGGCAGGACGTTCTTGGGGAAAGACACCCGGACACGAGGGTTCTGCTAAATGTCATGGCCACACAGTCACCAAGGGCGCTGCGAGGGACCCGGGGAAGGGAGGGGCTGCTGGCCAGACCCCAGGGTGCGGGGCCTGGTGGGTCCATTCTTCAGGGGGAGGAAGCTGGCTTCTGAGACAATCCTGCCTCAGCCTGCAGCCACGGTCCTTCCTGCCTGGCCCTCCCCACCTCCTCTCATCTTCCAGACCCTGATCCTGCTACCTTGCTCCGATGTCACTTTCTCTGATGGCCAGGCCCAGCACAAGCCAGAGTGGCCCTGCGGCGCTGGAGCCAATTCTGACTTCCCCCACCCGTTCGTCCAGCCCAGCCCTGGGGTGGCCAGCCCCAGCAGCCCCCATCCAGCCTTCACATCAAGGCTGGCTCGCACCACCTGCTTCTGCCCTCATCACATGTGACTGTTGGCTGGTGACTGGCCAGCTCAGTGCTGCAGACCCAAAGAGTGTCCAGCCTGGCTCAGTCTTGGCTGCATGGGGGACCCCCAAGGTCAAGGCCCGCTGCAGGCACAGGCCCACCAGTTCCCTCAGGCTGCCCTGGCCCCAAAAGGGCCAAGCCTGGGTACTGCCAGGCTATACCAGAGTCCCTCTTGTCCTGTTCTCCCCTGACTTCCTTGTCTTCCTCAACCTCCCAAAAGAGCTTGGGGATGCCACTCCTGGGGTGCTCAGGGCCGCAGAGCTAGGCAGAGAGCGGGTGGGCTCCCTCCCTGCCAGGGGCCTTGATGGCCAAAGTGGCTGGGAGCAGGCCTTCGTTCTCAGCCTCAGCGTGTGCTTATGATGGCAAAGGTGTGACGCTGACCTAAACGTCCATGCAGGGTCTGGAGAGGCCAGCGTGGGAGCCGGACAGAGGGCAGCCACTTTAGGACAGCATCTCCAGACAGCAGAGCTGGGCCAGTCCTGTGTGCGGCTCCCGTGTGTGCTTCTGACAGACGTCACTGTTGGTACCAACGCAGGGTTCCAGAACCCTGGTCCAACTGTCAAGAGGGACTATGAGAAGAGGCACTGGCACCCCAGGTGGGAGAGAGGCTTATTTTCATCGTAAGCCCTGTGCGCTGCTTAGTTTGCTGTGACCATGTGTGAATATTACCCTTGCCATAAAAATAAGGAAAACCAGTGATTTTAAAGGCCATGCCAGGTTGGCCCCTTGCAGAGAGATGCAGGTCACCCAGGCATCCCATCCCTTGCGGGCGAAGAGCCACCTCTCCTGTCCAGAGGCCCCATGAGCTCCCAGGCTCCCCCGAACCCTCACTAAGGCCACCACGCCCAGACCACTCCCTCCCCACCGGACACCCACCTTCAGGAAGTCCTCGAAGGTGATCCCCTCATATACCTGGTCAGGCTCCTGGGAATGAGAGCACAGGGCAGAGTGAGTGCCCGGGTCCTCACCCAGCTCCCACCAGGGCCCAGCCCCCCTGCCCCTCTCCACACCCAGAACACGAATGACCCGGGGCTGTCAGGACAGGCAGAGAAGAGAGGGAAAGTTCTGGACTGTCTGCCTCCAGTGTGAGGCCAGTCAACCTGAACTGCCAACGTCCCATTCACCCGCTTGGCCATGGGATAGGAGGCTCTCCAGGCCCCACGTGTGACTCACACAGCGGCCCCTCCCCTCTCTCGACCTCCAAGGAAGAATCTGGGAGGGGGGACGCAGAGGCATGAGGCTTTCCTACCCCACACAGCCTGCCCCATCACCAAAATGTGCCTCCCAACACGCTTGGGTCCTGCCCCACCACGCCCTGCATGGATAAGAACTGTTCTAGGCTAACCTAAGGTCAGAGATCACTGGGGAAAGGCACAAAGGGATGAAGGGCCAGCGCGTGCAGCCCCCGCCCCTGTGCCTGTGAGTCACAGTGAAAGGTGATAACGCCGGGCCACCAGGGAGGCGGGGTGGGGCGTGGCCACAGGCCACTGGGCTTTCCCCGGGAACCCCCTGCTGCAGTCTGCTGGGGCCAGTCTCCCTCTGCCACGTTCCTGCTCTGGGGATCCTGGAGCCATACTAGGGGCTCCTGCCCCTTTCACGGACGCTCTTGGGATTCAAAAACCGCCCCCACAGCATCCCCTGTGGCAGTAAGAGCCGGCTGACGTTCCACACGTCCATAGTGGAAGGCCGCATCAATCTCAGGCGTCCAACGATTGATTCCCAGAGGCCATTATGCGGGTCGATCTAGTTGTGCCAACATGAAAAGCTCTGAGAGATGTACACAGTGGGAAAGAAACAAACAAGAAACCCAGCAGGGGTCAGTAAGATGTCTGCAGAGCCTGTGTTGCTAATACCTTCCTGGACTGCTGACCAGATCCCCGCCTGCTGTGTGGACATGCGCGATAGTACAGAGAAGAGGAGAAGCTATATGGGTTCAATTTCATTTTGTGTAGATCAGGAAAAAAAGGCATGTGTATGCTGGCGTAAGGGGGGAAACCCACCATGGTGGCTTCCTTTAGGAAGGGGGTGGGGTGGGCGGGAGACACACCTCGCTCCCCAGGTGCTTCTCTGAAATGTCACATGGCTTCACTGAAGCAAACAATAGGCACTCTCTAAGTGCTGTTGCCGGGCACATCCGAATGCTTTCCAAATGAATGCATCCGCGGCTACCACCCTCACGCCAGGCCCCATGGTGGGCTGTGCACTGACTCCCATCTTACAGAGGAGGCCACTGGGGGGCACAGAGGGGCTCGTCCAGCTGAGAGGACTGAGCTGGCTCCAAGTTGGTGAGGGCTGTCCCTGGTAGCAGGACTCTGCACCCTTTTTTGTTTCTTCTTTATGCTTACAAAATTTTTTAAAAATAAAGGCCAGGTGCAGTGGCTCAAGCCTGTAATCCCAGCACTTTGGGAGGCCAAGGCGAGAGGATTGCCTGAGCCCAGGGGTTCAAGACCAGCCTGGGCAACTTGGCGAGACCTTATCTCTACAATAAATCAAAAATTAGCCAGGTGTGGTAGTGCACATCTGTAGTTCCAGTTACTTGGAAGGTTGAGGCGGAAGGATTGCCGGAGCCCAGCAGGTCGACACTGGGGTGGCCGTGAGCATGCCACTGCCCTCTAGCCTGGGCAACAGAGTGAGACTCTGACTCAAAATAAATAAATAAATAAATAAAACCCAGCAGTTCTCAGCTGGCCTGGGCCAGCCCTGTTCTCAAGGGCTCCTTCCACCCTGTCTTCCTTCCTCTTTTTCTGTGGGCACAGAGAGAGAGAAAGAGAAAGAGAGAGAGAGATAGAGAGAGAGGCTGTCTTCTCCCTGCTGGGTGAGCCAGGCTCCCAGGCCAGTTCAGGGGAGCTAATTATAGACAAGACCCCTGGCCAGAGATGGGGACTGGGGGGTGGAGAGGGTTGGGGTGGGAAGCACCCAGGCTGAACACCCAGCAAAGCGGCCCCTCCTCAAACCCACGGGCTGCATCTACCACCGAGCATGGCCCCCAGAGGATGCATGTGAAGGAGATCACTGCTTGGTCAGTCACTGGCTGTGGAAGTCCCTTAAAGTGGGGAAACGGGTCATTTGTCTTTGGCACATCTCAGGCCAGATGGTCCCGAGTGGCCACCGCCCACCCCCAGCCCGGTCTGTGTAGCTGGTGGCGTTCACACCAGAAGATGCTTTAAAGAAAGCCATGCAGGGGACACGCTGTGTCACACTGCCTTCCTGGCTCCGGAGCCCTGACTTGGCCTCTTGGGGGCCTAGAGGCCACGGGACATGCACCCGGAAGCCGGGCCTCACCCCGAGATGCCTCCACTGCCAACTGTGGGGTTTTATGCAGATCAGCAGCTGCCAGCTGCCAGCAATTTTACTACAGCGAATTAAGAAAACTGTCACCAATTGAAACTGGAGTGGGACAGGGAGCAATTTGAAGAAGGAGAGTGCAATTAAATGAAATGGAAATTTGGCCCGATGAGCTGGCGGGGGATCCCTGCTCTCCCCACCGAGGTCACCAGCCCTCTCCTGCGGCGGTTGATTTGCTGAGTGGGGTGGTTTCACCGAAGCCAGACACCTCCCCCTGGGCCTGAGAAGCAGACAGATGAAACAGGCCAGCGAGATGACCGCAGCCCCCGCCCTGGGGCAGGCCTAGGCAGGCGGCATCGGTCCCCCAATGACAGGCTTGGGGCACAGACGGCAGGATCCAGCATGAAAACTCCCGGCCTTCCACTATGGACACAGACCACGGAGGTGTCTAGAGACGCAGCCACCTTAAATACACAGAGGCAGAGAGGTGAGCGCCCTGGCTGGGCCAGGTGCCTCAATAAACAAAGTCCAGCACCATGGAGAGGATCACCTGCCCACCTAGCGGTCCCTAAGGGCTCGGAGACACCGTGTCAGGAGCTGCACCCAGCCTTACGAGAGGGAGGCCACCCAGCACAGGAAACATCACAAGGTCCGGGAAATTCTTTATGTTCTCCGAGACTCAGTTTCCCCACCAGTAAAAATAAGGCTAAAAATATATGCAAAGGCCACGCCCCTCTCTTCTGTCTTATTTCTGTGCTGGACACACCGTCTGACCTCAGATGTGGTGGCTCTAAGCCCCAAAGAGAGCTCCCCGCTAGCCCCTGCCCAAGGCCAGAAGTTGCCTCTGAGTCACTCATTAAGTAATAAACTAATTAGAGCAAGCCTGTGCGTCTGCTGACCGGGCTGGGCCTTAGGCCGAGTGCTGCCCACGAGTGCGTTGAAGCCAGGGAAGCGGCCCAGTGGGGGCTCCTGGACCCCAAGCCTGGGGCTGAGCTCTGCTTCTGTGAGGTACACAGCTCTCGGGGCTTGGGACCTGGCCCTCCTGGGGGACAGGCAAGGCCGGGGCGGTTTCTGAGCTCTGAAGGCCACAGTGGGAGTGGGGAGCAGGACGCGCGGCCCCGTCCTCAGGCCTTCCAGAAGCAGGCACGGGCAGGGAGGCGGGCTGGGCTGGCGGCAGGGCTGCAGCTGGGGGCTCACCATCGGCCCCACGCACACGCTGGCGGCCTCCATCATGGCCCCGTCGGCGATGGAGCGCGCGGACTCCTTCTCGGCGTGGGGGTTTCCCGAAAGCAGCTCTTCGACCACCTGCCGGGCGGGCAGAGACACACGGTGACCTTGGGTCTCCACGAGGCTGAGGCCCGGGGAGGTGCCAGGGCGGGGCAGAGGAGCATACTTTACATTTCGATATTCTTCCAGGGTGATGCGGCCATCGCTGTCCGAGTCGTACATGTGGAACAGAACTGGGGTGGCAGGGGAGAGAGGGGGCTCGGTCAGGCCAGGCCCAGGCCTGCACGGGAGGGGAGTCCCCGGCACCTGCTGGCCTGCTCAGGGATCGACCCCCAAGCGAGCAAAGACACCCACAACAAAACCTCAGTGCCAAGGTCAGAGGGGTCGAGGCCACAGGCTGTGGGACCAGACGGACCACTTCCTAATGGGTGGCCTTCGGCAAGGGATCTAACTTCTCTGAGCTCTGCATTCCCTATCTGTGAAATGGGAATAACGATAGCATCTATCTCATGCTCTTGCGAGGACTGGAAGCTCAAGCTGGTGGCGCCAGGGCCCAGCTGGCACACAGTGAGAGTGGTGAGCACAGCAAGCATCGTGAACACCCGGCCGAGTGGGTGCTGCTTCCAAACACGGCCCCCACGGCCCCAGGAGGCTGCCATCATCTCAGCCCATGTCCTGGTCCCTGGCCGATCTAACGTGGGCATCCCACGGCCCAGCAGTGGCAAGGAGCCGGGGGAGGTGACCTGTCTTGACTGTAGTCTCGGGAGGTGTTCTCCAAGCCCTCGGCGATGGCATTTAGCCAGCACTGACTAGACACCCGGGCACATAAAGTGCTTCACAAACATGTCTCCTTGTCATCCTCACACAACCCAGGAGGCCGGGCTGGCTGAGCTCAGAGTAGTGAAGGTGTCTGCCCTGGCCACCCGGCTTAGGGATGGGAAACCAGGGATTTGGACCTGAGTCCGTCCCATTCTGTGGCCCTTGGAGCAGAAGGAAAGCCGGGCTGACACCAGGGACCCCAGCCTGGGCCATTCCCACCAGCACCCCCCCACACACATTCCAGCACTAAATATAACCAAGCGCCATGTTGACATTTCCTGATGACCAGAGCTGAGCTTGCTGCGGTGGGGCGTTGAGGGACATCGGGAGTCATGGGAAAGTCCACAGGGCATGAAGAGCTGTGACTAGGGTCACGGCTTGGGAGCCTGTGCCGCTGGCCAGCCAGGACCACGGCGGAACCCACTTGGGGCCTTGAACACAGAGGAGGCCGGTCCAGGAAGCCGACGACAGCACAGCCCGTGAGGACGGAGCGCGGAACACCGATTCTGGGAGCACCTCCCGTGTACTAAGGACAGTCTGTGTGATCTCCACAATCAACATACCCGCATGCCGGCACAAGGGTCAAGGCCACGGTCAAGGGTCGAGCCACTAAGTGGGAAGGACTGAACTGGAACCCAGGTCTGCACCAAGGGTCTGGCTCTTCCACATCCACCCTACCGTCCCCTTCTAGTCCCAGGAGATGGCAGACTGCTGAGGACTGTTTACCATGAGGCCACCGAGGTGCAGCTTAGCAGGAGACACCAGTGCCGGGCTGGCGGGGACCCGGGCTGGCCTCCCCAGCCACTCCCTCCCGCTCGTGCACCCCAGCCTCCAGCAGACGCGGGGACACGCACATCTCAGCTTCTCCTTCCGGGACTGCTCCACCTGCTCTTCGCCCATGGTGGTGTCAATGGGCCGGAAGTAGGACATGATGGTCAGGAAGTCCTCGAAGTTGATCTCGTCGGCCAGGCCACTGGGTGCCTTGCGCAGGTTCCTAAGGGTGCAACGGGGGCTGAGGACACGGACTGTGAGCTGGGTCCTGTCCTCTGGCTGCCGACATGCACGGGAACTCGGCTCTCGGGACACACGCTTCCCCCACCCCGGCCATGCCTGCCTTGGGCTCTGTGCTCAAGAACCCACTCCGTGGGGGTGCCAGGGCCCGCCCTGCCCTCACAGGGCTCTCCCTCCGCCAGGGTTTGGGGCACAGAAAACGGCACGACGAGGGCACAGACACGTCAACGAGGGCTGGGATGCATGGGATGTGCACATAGGCGGGCACTCGAATGTGGGGAAACTGAGGCATTGAGCAGCCCAAGAACTCACCCAGAATCCATCTCCTGATCTTTTCCTTTAGCTCCGGGGTCTGCAACTGCAGCCCGGGGAGCCAGATATGGCCCGCTGCCTGCTTCTTCTACACAGCCCATGAACTAAGAGTCTTCCCTTCTGTCTTTTTAAGTTTTGTTTTTTTTTTTGAGTTGGAGTCTCACTCTGTCGCCCAGACTGGAGTGCTGTGGCACACTCCCGGCCACCACAGCCTTGACCTGCTGGGCTCCGGTGATCCTTCCACTCAGCCTTCCAAGCAGCTGGAACTACAGGCACGCACTACCACACCCGGCTAATTTTTTGATTTATTGTAGAGATGAGGTCTCGCCACGTTGCCCAGGCGGGTCTCAAACCCGCTGGCTCAGGCAATCCGCTCACCTCGGCCTCCCAAAGCGCGTGATTACAGGCTGAGCCACTGAGCCCGGCTCTCTTTTTAAGTTTTAAAACAAAGTTTATTAAAGAAAGGAGAGAAAGCCCCCGAGTTTTCTCATTTTGAAATGGTTGAAAGCATGCAAAATTTAAAAAAAAATCAAAAGAATAGTATTTCATGAAAAGTAAAAAATACATGAAATTCAAATTTTCATGTCCATAAATAAAACCTCCCTGGAACACAGCCATGCCCCTTCATCTCTGCACTGTCTGTGGCTGCTTTTGGGCCCTGGAGGCAGAGTCAAGTAGTTGCACCAGGGACCACGTGGCCTGCCAAGCCTCAAATATTTACTCTCATCATTTTACAGAAAAAGTGTGCCAATCCCGGCTCTCCATCAGCGGCTCACAATTTTAGCACGGTGAACCGCTGCGAGCAGCTCTGAGTAATGTGTTTACTATACTACCAAGTGCAAAGTTTGCCAATGATCAAAAGTTCTGGAATAAATTAGGACAGCTTTGAGATTATTCCTACCACTGTGCTTCTCAGAGGGGGCAAGAGAGGGCTCGTGTACCAGCAGGACCAGAGAGTGCATGCAACATTGGGGCTGCCCTGCCCTGCCCGGTACCTGGTACATAGCAGATGCTCAGAGCTTGCTGTCCAGCTCAGGTCCCAGCAGTCAGTGAGCAAAAGGCTTGGAGATGACACCAGACGCAAGCTCCTAGCCTACTGCCACCAAAGCTTTACCACTGACTGACTTCAACTGTGAGCCTAGTGGCCACCAGGGCAGGCTGTCATCGGGCTGGCAGGCTGAGGGTTCCAGGGCTCTCCCTGCAGCCATCCGACAGCAGTTCTCAGCTAGCCTGGAATGACTGGCAGGTCATGGCTGGTGCTTGGGCATGTCACCTGGATCCCACTGGCCCCCAGTGTAAAGGAAGGTGCTTGCCATTCTCTCTCAAGGTCACCCCAGTCCCTTTGGGCACCCAACAAACACCAACAGCCTCTAAGTGCCCACTGCACTTCACAGTTTCTAGAATTTTCTCCTCCAGATTTTCCAGGAAGAGGCAGATCCCAGGCCTGGATTTGGGAAGGTGGATTGTGAAACTACGCATCTGCAGGTGACATAAGACCCTTCCAGAACTCAGGAAGCCTCTCCTGGCGTGTTTTCCCCAGTCGCCCTTAGCTCGTATTTTATGGAGCTCCCCACGGCTCCTGCCGACCCTTTCTCGTCATCTCAAAGTTCCTGCTCTCAGCAGCGGAGACCACATTTACAGGACATAAAAATAGCCCCAGCCTTATCAGGCTGCTCTGGAGGCCCCTCTGGCCGTGGCTGGCTCACACGTCCCTCCCAGGTGGCTCAGACTGCAGCAGGAGGGACGGAGATTAGCACTGGGGAGAACAGGACAGGCCTGAGGCAAGGCAGGACATGTGTCTCTCAGGGAAGGTTGAGACCTGGGCCGCTTCGGCATCAGAACCTGACTTGGGGGAGGAGGGTTCCTTCTTCTCCAAATGTCCCTGGGAGGTCTGCACAGGCCAACATCATGGTCTCCAAAAGATGAGAGCCCAGGGCCAAGGACACCTACACAGAGCACCTGGAGCCAGACCTGCCTGCTCTCCGTGCCCATTTCTTTATAATTTCTTATTTATGTTTTTTTAGAGATGGGGTCTCGCTATGTTGTCCAGGCTGGTCTTGAACTTGTGGCCTCAAGCGATCCTCAGTCTCCCAAAGTGCTGGGATTATGGGCATGAGCCACCATGCCCAGCCTTGGATCACATTTTTTGAAGGAAAAATTACAGTAAAAGGTAGAGATCTTGTGTCTGGACAAAGATATACCCCCATGAAACCCACCTCTCTCCCACCCCAGATGTTTCCTCGTGCCCTATTCAATCCAACCGCACACCCGCCCAGGCCTGTGGGTGCCTGAGCCCTGGGCCGGCTCACAATCCCTGGGAGACAGCTTTGCCCGTGTCCTTCCCACAGGCATTATCCTCTGCCTTAGCTTCCCTGGGACTGCTGGGACACACCAGCCCTCCTTCAGCCCTGTTCCACAGAGGGCTGTGTCCCTGGGGCCGGGGCTAATTTCACATCCAGCCAGAGCCTTCTGGAAACAAGCCTCACACACACACGCACACATGCACTCGTATGCCCTGTCCCCTCAGGGGCCCGCTGGGCTCTGGTCACTGGACCAGCTTTCTGTCTGCCAACGTCTCCAGCTCTGGGTCCCCACTGCCTATGTCAACCCACAGCAGGGGCCACCCCTCCCACCTGGCTCCTGTCCCCCACCCCATTCCACCCTCGATCACCCTGGCTCCCTGAGCTCTGCCCACCTCAGAGCCTGCCCCTGAGAGGCCTCCGCAGGAACCAGGATTCAAAGTGGGGGGCGGATTCCACCCCATCATGGTCACTGAGGCTCCACAGAGCATCCCTCTGGCAAACATGACAACTGGCTGTGAAGGCTCCTGGGCTCTGGGTCTCTCACTTCCACCCCAGATCCAATCCTTCCTCCTGTCTCCCCCTACGTGGCCCAAAGCCACCCCCTCCCTCTCACCCCACCCCAGTCCCACCCCATAACCTACAAGTGACTCAGAACCCACCAGGGAGACCCTGCGGTCTTGTCACCACACTAGACCTGTTCCCTTCTTCCTCTTTCTTTTTTTTTTTGTTTTTGTTTTTTGAGTTGGAGTCTCACTCTGTCGCCCAGACTGGAGTG